GCCACTCCTGGTACCTAACACCTTCCTGGGCATCACCCCAAATCTGGACCCAGTACTTCCGTCTCTCTGCCGGCCTGTGCTCAAAAACAACGCTCTGAAAGGGTCGCACATACGTTTCTTGCTCTTTCCTCAAATACGCGTGCATCTGTTTCGGCGTGAGCAAGCCGTCGGCAAACTTCTGCCTATAGAAAGCACGTCTCTTCTCAATCAACAGACCAACGAAGTGCTGCAAGCATTCCATTGCTTTGGCACCATAAAGACGTTCAACCCGCTGAAAACTCAATAGCATGTGTCGCATGTTCTCAACGGTACACCATGCATCGAACTCAGGCCACCAATACTTGGACATAAGAGCGGCTTGCTCTTCCATGACCTTGTGAAGCCTCCGCTGGAGGCTCAGCGGTACCGGCCTACGTGGGAGCATCAAGTCTCCAACTAAGCGCCTCAAACCACACCAATAGTTAAGGTCACTCGAATCCCATTTGTTGTGTGCAGGCTTGGCTTCCAGATGCGGTCTGGTCCCATATTCAAGGAAAGTACCTCGCCCTTTTGCCACAGGTTCAACAGACACGTCCAACAAATAGGCCTCAGCCTGTCTAGACCACCGCGCAAACTCTTCAGTGATAGTTTGCTGCTCGCTCGTTTTGGCCAGGCACCCAAGAATCTGAAAGCTTCCATCGGTGGTTCCAAAATGTTCCCAAGGCCTTCTGGGGCCAAAAGCACCAGGGACGGGGTCAATGGTGTTGAGGGCAGGCACCAAGGCCTGCTGCCATCGACCTTTGAGTGTCACGCGCAGGCCATAGTGCGGCCGAAAAGGCACCATGTGATCAACAGCAACTTCAACACAACCCTGCAAACTCTTGCTCACAATCAAGTAATCCAACTCACTTCCGGTGGCTATGGTTGGCATTTTTGCGTCAACGATAACGCCCTGCAATTTGCGAGCAAAGCCGGATTCAAACAACACCTGCGGGGCCAGGTTGAAATCGGCGGCTATCACCCACGGGCATGTCACGCTGTGCACCGCCGCAAGCAATTCACGCATGAGTTCGTAGTTTTCCTCTTGGTGCAAACCGCCATTTTTGAAGTAAGCCACAAGCAGCAACAGGTCACACCCTTTCCTCCGGATGAAGATGCTGTTCCATCTCGGGTGCACCCCTTGAAACTCATCAACCGGATTTAAGTGCTTCCGGGCAACCGCAAAGACGCCAGCCCGAGTCCCACCAGCATCACTAGGTGCAGCTGGTGAGTAGCTACCTTTCCATCCCGACTCAACACACTGCTGTTTCAGAAGGTCAAGATTACTGCCAACTTGGTGGTGCTCAGCAACCAAGAGGCACTGTACGCCTTGCTCCAACAAGAAAGTCCGCGCAGCCCTACTCCAACTCGTTATGTTTGCAAACAAAAGGGTCAGATCTCTGGCGGCCTCACTACAGCTGTTCACTGGATCAGCGAGGTCACCCTTCCGGTCAGTGCCCGGGGCTGTCACAATGCCACACGGCTGCAGCTGCTCCACAACTGAGCTGTGTTGACATTGCGCCGCGCTGCTAGGTTGTACATGGCACTCCGCCCGCAGCCGCTCCAACAAGGCCAGTGATGGCTCCATCAGGAGCTGCATACACAAGTCCTGTATGTCCTGTCTACAAGCCATTCCTAGCAAGCCACGCCCAAGCTGCCACGCTAGCGAAAACTGCAACCAAAACGTGGAGGTTGAAATCTGGCACCGCGTGATGTCCTCAAGATCGGGCCCCTTGCTACCCAAACCGCAGCCCTGCCAAATCCTCATACGCATCGGGGTCCCAGTTGGCCTGTATGGCCTGTGGCACCGCCTGAACCTTCCTTCGCTTGTGCTGCAAATCTGCGTGGGCACATTTCCGTAGCAAGGACTCAAGCATCTGTTTCTGCTCATCAGTCTGCAAGGCCCCTTGCAACGCTTTGATGTTGTCCTGCATCTCACTGTCAATGCCCATGTCGCCTTCGTCCTCCATGGGACCTGCTCCATACGGTTCCAGCTGTCTGGTGACAATCTGGTCCGAGTACTGCTTGGCCAACCGGTCCATTTCCACCTGCGCCTGCACCAACTCCTCCTGGAGCTGCTGCAGCTGCCTCTCATGGTTCTGGAGCGCAGCCCTGGCCTGGGTAACCCGGTGTTCCCCCTGCAGCTTTCGCTGGCCGAGTGCCCGCAGTACTCCTGCTTGGGTCTTAAAGGCTCGGGCAAGGGCCAAGTCAGGGTCTTGGCAGTCACCCTTGGGCTCCCCCTGCTGCGGGCGCAGCAGTTGCTGCAAAGGTGCCAACGCCTGCTTAACTTCATCTGCCCGATCTCCTTCCTCCGCCACTTGCCGCACTGCTCCAAGCACATCCTCGAGCAGTTTTCGCAAGTCTTCTGGGACGGCACCTTGTGGGTTTGGCACTGTCGGGTAACTTTCACTACCAGCCCAACCCCATCGACCATGCTCCTGCCATGATTCTTCCCCTCGGCTCCAATCTGACTGTAGGTGGAAGTCATGTCTACCACGCCACGCTTGCCTATCACGCTGTCGATGGCCGCCCCTCTGATTCCATCCAAGCCGCTTGCCGCCCATAAAGGGCTGGCCACATTGACAGTACGGATGTGTGGGCAACCGATCAGCGAACAGCCAAGAGTGACAATGAGAGCAAACCACATAACTGCGGTTCGACATTGCAAGCTCCTACTGGCTAGCTTTCCCGACTTGGGCATCAAGGCTGACCCTATACTATCATAGGGTTGATTCATATCAATCCTGCCTAAACCTTTCATCATCTACTAGCATGATCTAAGCGGTAGGTTGGGCCGTATTGAAATCGTACCCTAAACCCTAAACCCT